GTATAATAGGAAATAAATTTTTTGTAGAGTTTTAAATTAAACACAAGATCAAGTGGAAAACAATGAACCAAACACTTGATAAAAAATAATCTCTACACTACTAATCCTTGCATTACTAATTCCTTCGTTACTAATCCATGCATTGCTAATCCCTGCATTATCAATGTTTGTACCAAACGACCTCTTAAAATCCTAACAAAACTCATGTTAACTACCTTATTAGACCTATATATTTACCATATATATTAATTTTGACTATATTTTAAAATAATTTTGTCACTAATTAAGATATTTTTTATTATATATTGAGGAATATACACCTAGATATATTTATTTTTGTTATCAGATATACTAAAATAAGAAGAGAACAACGAGCTAGTCATATATTCCAAATACATATGAATCACACAAGATACAAGATATGTAAGAGAGCAGAGCGAGATGAGAGGAAGACGGACGAGATTCGTTATGTATCTCAGATACATGCTAATCCACTTATATATAATGTATCTAGAAATATTTTTGATCCCATATATCTCAATGCACTGAAATTTCTGTAAATTTTCCTACTTTTTATTTATAATTTTTAAAATTAAATTATTTAATTTGATATAAATACAAAATATAAATATTCTCCATACCTCATCAATATCTCTAGAGTGACTAAGTTCCCAATTTTCTCTTTTCATTTAATCCCTTTTCGTACTCTTGTTTCTCTTCCATCCAAAGCCAAGAATTTCCACTGTATTTTACCCACAAAATAACTTTTCTCTGCAAATTCATTGCTTTAACCTTCCACAATCTCCCTTTCTTTCTTTTTTTATAAAATAATTGTCTTGACCCAATTTTCGTAAAAGGATTTTTATTCTTTTTCTTCTAACCTTAAAATCATGAAGGTTCATCCAGTACCAAGAAAACGCAACATCACGTTACGATACGACATCGTTTCGACTCTTTCTCAGGCTAATGCGTTATCCGGCCGTCAGAAGAAGCTCCGGCGACTACCTCATATATTCGCGAAGGTTCTAGAACTTCCGTTTAATTCCGATGCGGATGTTTCTATTGAAGAAACCTCTGATTCATTCCGTTTTGTTATACCGACGGATGATGCTGGTAATAATATTAGGGCTGATACAGTTGAGATCTATCCGGGTGTTACTAAGATTGTAATTCGAGGGGATAATGTTTTGGATTCGTCTTTGGGTGAGTTTGAACTTGATTTGTGGCGATTCCGTCTTCCGCCGTCAACTCTGCCGGAGTTGGCTACCGCTGATTTTGCTGACGGCGAATTGGTGGTCACAGTTCCGAAAGACCCAGATGAGGAGGTGGTCGATGATGGTGGTATTGGTGAGGCTGGACGCCTTATTCTTGTACAATAAACTTCTCTGTAGCTTCAGTTCTTTTTTTTTTTCAGTTTATGTCCCAATTGTGGCTCGTCTTGCTAAGGGATATATCTTAACTATCTATGCTCAATTAAATAAAATAGTACTCTTTGGATTTGGATTTGAATTTGAATTTTGATCATTGTGCTCTACTTATTTCCTTACTTTTTGGCTTTTACTTTACAAAAGGTCAGTAATGAAGAGGATTCATAATAATGAACTTCAGCTAGATTTAGTGGGGTAATCTATGGATGTATTCGACGAAATTTAGTTGAATCATTGCTTTCATTAACCACTAATGTGGTGTGGAATTTACTAATAGGCTGATTGTAAAAGAAGAAAAGAAGCAAGCTTTTCCTTGAAATATTAATGGTTATGAGTTGTTAAAGTAGTCTTTATACTTATGTTGTTGTAATTTGTGGCAATCGCATCTGCGTAGCTTGAGTTGCTGAGTTGTTCAATTGGTTGTGTTGTATAAGCATATAGGTTTGTAATGGGCCAATGACTCATTTCTTTTTTTATTCTTCTTTATGTGTGGTTCATGTGTGTGATCTTACCGATATAAAGATGCATTCTTTCTTTGTAACTTGAAATTTGGTTCATCTGATGTTGTTTGGTTGCCACTATTACAAAATCACTTTACCATTTAATCAGTATGCAATGGTGGTGCCATTCAGTTGATTTTCTGTATATACTTTTATTTCCTTTGACAAAGATATGTGGTGATGAGTGATGAACCAATGGAAGAACATATATAGTGAAACTCCATGGCTCCTAGTGTCTAAGATAGAATTGATCACACCTCATATAGCCTTTTGCTGTCCGAAGTAGCCGAAGAACTGCTGATATTGGTAATTCTACCTTCACTGTTGCAAAAAATGCTTGGAACTGTCGAGCAATTATCATCATTATTCAGCTGCTAATGGGATAACAATTTCTCAAGTATGTGCAGTCCCATGCTATGTATAGTGGTCCTAATTCTTTTCATAATGTCATTATATGTTTCTCTTGCTAGTTACTCCAATTTCCAACAGATTAAACCATGTTGATTTGTAGGCTTATTTGGATCTGGTTGCACTTCTATGCTTGTCCAATAATGTCCCATCGAAGCTTCCGTGGTTCTATCCTTTTAATAATTGAACTTTCCCTGATTGTCTTATCTGCATTGCTGTGCAAAAGTCATTTCGCAGCATAGTTCTTCATTTGTATTCTTATAGTTTGGTGGGTGCTGCTCTTCTGAACATCAGTACCTAAGTGTAGAATTCTGTTGCATATAGATTCTAGATTTCAATCTGCTTTGCATGTAGAATAGAATTAATCAGATTGTTGAAGAGCTTAAGAGCTAAGCGAATCTGAAAATAATTTGAAGATGTAATTCATAGAGAAATGTCCATAGTTGGATGTTGTGGAGTTTGAGTATACTTACTACTTAATTAGTCCCAGTTGCATTTTGTTGAAATGCAGAACCAATGTTATGGCCCATTAGAAGCAGATTCTACCATTTTACTCTGTTTCCAGCTTACCTAAATAACCTAGAGCAAATAGATGGTGTAATAATCTGTGGCTTCTATATTCCCATGGCTAGGTGATCTGCGAACTTTTAGCTTACTGGCCTTAAGGGCTGTAGATCCACTGTTTAATCATCTTGTAGTCCAAGAGAGGTCTTTCTTTGTTAAGGAGTTTCTGGAGTTGTCACTTGGTTATCATGGTAATGAGTTTTTGACCAAATTCATCCTTATTGTTTTGCCTCAACTTTCAATACATCCTTATAATACTCCGCTTAACTAAGAACATCCTTTAAGTTTCTTAAAAATGATCAAAAACCATCCTATTGTTGCGTTTTTCATCCTTTTCTGACAGAATGATCTTTTTCTCTTATTTTCATCTCTTTTTATTAACAAAAAAGAGAAACAAAAGAAGAATCTCCCAGAAACAAAGATATCACTCTTTTCTTTCTTGCTGTGAGAATATATCTATCATTTAGCCAAAACTATGTATCACCACATTTTTGTGAAAGAGTATCAAGGTTGTGTTGAGTCTTTAAGCTTAAAATGTTCTTAGTTAAGTGGAATATTATAAGGATATAATGGAAGTTGAAGTAACACAATATTGATGAATTTGGTCAAAAACTATCGTGTTAATCCTCTTATGTGAGATTTACTACATCGAATATCTAAAATAGACCTTACAAAAGCCATACATTTAGTGGTCATTTTTGCTTCCATGTTCCAACCGTAAGGAGTAGTTGTTTTCATTCCCAACCATGTAGCATATGCTCATTAGTCACAGCTCTTTGACCCAAGCCTTTGCGAAAGTTTCCATATGAATCCTTTAGTAGCTTTTGCATATCTTTAACTTTTGTATGTTCAATAAAAGTGTATTATTGCAGTGTGGGACTGACTATGTCGAGTTGCATTATCACCCAGGGGAAGATGCATTATGTTTCTTTTCTTCTGGTTGCTGGTAGATTGTTTTGCCAAAACCAACTTCTTCGCTAATATCAGATGTTGCACAATACCTGTTTTGTTGCTTCAAGTGTTGTCACGATCCTGGTAAGTTTCTTCTTGAATGATTTTGATGAATCAGAAGCTGGTACAGTGTTTTTTTTCCTGGTTATTTCTACAGTTTTAGTAAATTGTACTAGTATAGTTTCTGGTGATGAGATAAGTGGGGTCTTGCAAATGTTAGCTTCACACTCCCTTGTGTCAGCAACACAAATATGTGCCATTTACACTTGCTGGCAATGACACATCCTAGTCTACTCTGATGTGAAAGTTGAGGCTCCACACTCCACATACTACCATGATATCAAGTAAAGGATGGATCTGAGAGCTTTAACTTTTATCTCAAGAAAGACGAATTTTCGTCACTGTATTTTTGCTGCCAAATTACCTCTCCTGAAATTACACGAAAGTTGAACTATGCGCCAACTCTTTCTTTTCAAGTGGGACACGAATAGATTCTGCTTGGAATGGCTTTTCAAAACTCTTTTTAAGTATTGTCACTCTCGATGGCCACATTTTAATGGCAAAGGTGCCTCCATTGTTTTATTTTTGTTTTTCATCTGGTGTCTGATCTCCGTTGGAGTTTGACTAATTCAGATACGCATCGGATAGGGCCCATTTAAGGGTAGCGCTTTTCACCAAAGATTTTTTCATATCAAAGGGTTGAAATCGAGACTTCTGATTAAGAAATAAATACTATCCATTGCAATTTGCACCACGTCCATGGGGTTTACTTAAGAAGTTGGGTGTGATATATTAATCGAGACTTTATTCATGTTCAACGTTTAAGATTGATGTTATTTTTTCTATACTTATCCTTTTCTTTATTGAAATTTTACCTGAAATATTAGGAGTACATAACTCTTCGAAATCTCAAAAATAGCCCTTTTTCTTTCTTAAAAGAAACAATGGTTTGGGCGGCTCACACCGCAACTTACAAAGCACCATCTGTAAAATCAATACTGAAGTGTTCTATCATATCCCTCAACACGTGTTAACACATTTCCAGCCTTTGGCAGTACCACTTAATGCACCTTCTGTTTCTCCTTCCTCTTTGATCGTTGTAAAATTTTAGAGATATATATCCTTTGTTAAAAAATTAAAGAAGATGAGCATGAGTAATGAAGATAAACCCGTAACATATGGGGACGTATTTTCTGTGTCAAGCGAACTTGGTTCAGAAATTATAGCGCCAGAAGATGCAGCAATAATGCAATCAGCAGAGAGTATAGCACTCGGTCATGTTCCGCGAGGCGGCCCTGCATCACTCATGCAGTCAGCCGCCTCACAGAATGAGCGAATTGGTGTTGCAGCTACTAATGACATAACTGATTTCGCCAGAGAACACGGCGTTACCGTTTCTCAAGTTGAAGTTGGGGGTACTCGCGTTGTTTCTGAATCCGTCGGTGGAGAGGTAAGCTTCATCTTATTTCATCATAATCATGGACTTTATGAAATAAGTAATAATAGCAGAAACTTAAATTCATATAGCGTTTGAAAAAAATACACATTCAAATTGGAGAATATAGATGCTAGTCCTAGTTTTAAAGGAATATTTTTGTACTATATATGCCTAAAAAATTTTGTACTATATATGCCAATTTTTTTTATGAAGGGTGTCCAAATTCATTGTTGAAATATGAATCATCAAATAAAGTTATTAGTTATTTCATTATCATTATTCAGTCTATCAACTCAAACAATGTTGGACCCTTTAGAAAGTCGATGGAGTAGTTATGATAGTTATTCAATGGCATTGATGCATTCATTGGGGATATTTATTGGATGGTCCAATTGCGACCTCAACTGTGATCCTAGCGTTTTATGAACCCAAGGGTCAGTTGCTTGTTTCAGGCTGCTATGGGTTCCTCCTTTCTCTCTGGTTCAGTTTTAGACTTAAACTATATTTATTTCGGATTTTCTAGAGGACTTAGATTTTGGTACACAAATTTCAAATTCTAGGAGGGTTTTCGGTGATTATTTTATGATTTTGAATTTTAATAATGAAAGCTTATTTTAGAATTGAAAATTGTTTATTTTTGGTTATTTAATGGATTATGCGTTAGTGGTTAGTTAGTTCTCAAATCGGGGGTTAGTGTGGTGCTATGCACGACGGATCAGGATTGTGATACCAAGAAATTGTAACACAAAAACAAGGTGTGATCACCTAAATACCAATGATATCAAAATAAACCAATTATATGAAAAGACTAATACTACAATTGATATGGTGCTCTACAGTACTACCAAGCCAAATACAATTGTGAAACCACTAGAGGAAAGATTTGTGAAGAAAATCGAGGAACCTACGAGGAGTTCACAAAAGGAACCATTTGTGGAACAATAGCAGATGAAAGCACTGTCATGAAGTCATCGTTCCCTGCAAATAGGAGTTAGCTCTGGCAAAGAAGCACTCAAAAACCTAACCATTTGATCTCCATCCAAATAAACACATTTCTCTTTCTCTTTAGCGATGACTAGAAAAAAGTGAAGCTTGCTTTCATTAAAAGTAAAACTAACAATGACGTCTCATATAGGAAAAGACATGAAGGATTCTTGGAAAAAATCTGAAGAACTCGACACATTTGTGGTATTTAAATGGCTACGGTCATCTTTAGTTTTTACCACAATAAACTTTCATGAGCCCCAAGGCCTAGCTCAAGTGGCAAAAGGTGGAGGATTTGTGGCTTAGGTCGCAGGTTTAAGCCCCACACAATGCAAAGCGAAGTTCAGTATTTAAGTGGAGAAGGGTAGAGGGGCGGGTTCATTATCCACCGAGTTTAGAAGGCTGTGATTGGTTCAAAGGGCAGGTCACAGACGAATTTCTCGGTTATAAAAAAAAAAAAAACTTTCATGATTTGAGAACACCACAAGTTCATTGTGGTAAGGACTACAGATTGTTGTAGTCATTTTAATACCATAAAATGTGTTGGTTCATGAGTCTTCAAGAACTCTTTTCATCTTTTCCTGTATGGGACTTCCTTGTCAATTTTTACTTTCAACCAAAGCAAACTTTATTTTTTTTCTATTCATGGCTGAAGAGAAGGAGAAGTGTAATTGTTTGGGAGGGGATCAAATGACTATGTTACTATTGTTGTGTGTTTCTTTGCTTAAGATTGACTTCTATTTATAGGAAAAAATCAGATTTTGTAAAGTTTTGAATAGTTTGAATTAAAGAATACTAATTTATCGGTAGTAAGTATTTTGGCATGTAACTAAATGGGGGTGTATTAGATATCAAGTTGGATGTTATCATTTTAAAATATACGTAGTTTATGATTTTGGTCTTGTTTTGACCAGATTTTTTGGGTCAAACTTTTTATATTAGGAAAATAATTTAGAGGTTTGAACTGATCACTAATTAGTATCTACAAAAGATGGTCATCTAGATATATTTAAAAAATAGTTAGTTAATTGTTGTTATTCTTTATTGTTATTTTTTCACTGATGAATCCTCGCAACTAATTATAATTAATTATAATTTGCCGATTTAATAGTAGCTAAGAATTGTGTTATTAGTATTTTTATAAGTATATGAATATTATATTATCTAGTTCATTACAAAAGAGAAAAAAAATCAAATATGGTATCAAACTTTGATAAAAAGGTCCATCAATGACACTCGTTGAAAATTTGGCTTATCTATGTCATTTTCGTTTGAGAAAAGACTCATCTATGCCATTATTTGTTAACAGAAAAGAAAACAGTTTCGAGTTTGTAAAATTATTTTTCTACACATGGTCAATTGTGATACAGCCACATCATCAGGTAAATCATTTTTTAAAAGAAAAATGTAGCGACCTAAGCAGTCATTATTCAAGTTACATCTTGTAGTCCTAAATTTTTTAAGATACGATTTCAATTTAAAAATTGGGGCACACAACGTAAATTTAGGAATTTTAGAATTAACCAGGTTGACATCATTCCGCCATAGCGGAAATATTTTCACTACGATGACACTACTATAGCGGCATGTTAACTGCTATAGTAGGGGCAGAAACTCGAAAAACATGAATTCTTTTATTTCATCCCGCTCTTTATTAATGAAACAATGAGGGTTACTCCAAAAATATCTCATAAGCAGCTCTAAGCTCGGGAATAATGGAGGGGAGGGATTTCGAAACAAAGAAGGCCAAAATCCATGGATTCTCGATCAATGTCCGTCGAGATTCGCCCTCATGGAGCTAGAAGTTCATATTCAAAAAATTTCAACAGTTGTTTGAAGTCTAGGTAGGCTACATTTTTATTAACCGAATAGTTAGAACAATTTTTACTTATATATTATCTTGTAATTTGTCGAGAGATAACATGCAAAAGCCTTTGGGATGGTGTCTGGGTGGATGAATGTGTGGTTAGTTGTGGTTTAGGCTGATGATAGACTTGATTAGCTATTGTTGAATTATGATATTTGTTGAGTGTTATCTTGGGAAAGGTGGTTGTGAAAATCAGATTATGATCAGGAGACGTTCGAGAAGGAATCCTTTCGGGTAGGTAAGTGTTGTTTTTTTTTTCCAGTTATGATTTATGTGATTCTTAATCGTTTCGTTAGTATTTCATGCATTATATATGATTAGGGGAAAGGAAATAACATGATGTGAATGATAAAAGTTGTCAATTGTATGCAATGAATGTGTTTTACTTGAGTGTACCAGTCAGTGGCACAGCTAGAAATTTTATGAAAGGTGTCCAAACTTTTGATAGTAAATTCAACAAAAAAGGTAATCTTATAGGGATTCAATCTTGCATACTTTAACACCAAATTGCCATCTAGTTATTGCCCACTCCACATCAAAGTTGTGCATTTTTAATATGTTATAGATTTCAAGTAGCTACTGGAATCTATTAGTTGGAAGGGTGTTTAAAATAGTATATATATCAATATAAAGTAAGATTTGACGTATATATAGTGGAATTTTTCGATAAGGGGTGTCCAGTTGGACGCCTTGGCACCACCGTAGCTCCGCCCATTCTTGTTTGAAGACTCATAATGATCAACATCACGAAGATCCCATTTTATTCTAGAAGCTTGTAGCATTGGTCCTAACTACAGCCGTCAAAACGGCTTTAGCACATGGGGCCGGCCCAACCTAACCCGTTATTGGGGTGGGGTTGGGATAGGATTTTTCAAGCCCATTTAAAGCCCGGCCCTATAAGCCCTTAGTCCTTGAGGCTTGATCGGGGTCGGCCCATGGGCCAAATTTTACTTACAATAATTCACTAGTATATAATCTAATTACTTAAATACACGCTATGTCGTAATATTATGAATCTTACCAAATTTTGGTACGTCCAGATACATGTATCTCAGAATATATGGACTCAAAATTAAGTTAATTTGTTCTAGATACACTTTATCCAAGTAGATTCGCATGTATCTAGGATACATAGACAAATCTCGCGCTCTCACCTCTCTCCCATCTTGCTTGTCACTCTCTTATCTCGCTCGCGTATCTGGTATGCGAGATACATGTTAATCACACTAGATTTTTTGCTAGTGTTATTGAAACAACACCATTGTTTGTCATAATTGATTTGAAAATCTTGTCATTTTCTTGATGTTATAGAATTATAAGTTTGAAAAAAAAAAGGGCTAGCCCTCCCCAACCCTTGGCCCTTCTAGGGTTGGGCTGGGTTGAGCATTTTCAGCCCTACCAAATGAAGGGCCGGCCCGTCCTAGCCCTTCAAATTCATTGGCCGGCGAGGCTTGGGCTGGGCCGGCCCTTTTTGACATCTCTAGATGACTAATCCCAATCTGATGCCTCAATCTCCCCTAAGAATACGTACGCCTTCAACGTGTTCTCATTATAGGACTCAGGGTAGTAAGTTTTTGATACTCAACAATCTCTATCATGTGATTATGATATAGGAACGATTTAAATTTCTGTGCTATGTTTCACAATTTTTGCACGGGTTTTGAATTTTGAGGTATTAACTCTTAAATTAAAGTAGAGTGTACTTTATTTTTTTTACGATTTTTACTGAATTCAATAACTTTTATACAGGAAGGGTAATATTTTTAGTATAGGTAAAATTACCAAAATTTCAGCAAATAGTAAGTGCAATATAATGGATTCCCTTCAAATTTAATTGATATTTACACAACAATAATGCACCTTGGTGTACGTAGTTGATAGGTATGAAAATAACAATTAATTGGATATTTAGGTAGTTGCACAATATATTTATCCATCAGAAGCAGGAGGAGGTGGAGATGATGAAGAGAGATCAGCACGATATCCTACGACAGGAGTTCAAGAGGAGGCAGTTACGGTAGGTGAAGCACTAGAGGCGGTGGCACTTAAGCCTGCAGGGGACAAACCAATTGAGCAGAGCGACGCTGCAGCAATACAGGCTGCAGAAGCAAGAGCTACTGGACGAAGTGAAGTAGTGCCAGGAGGCGTAGGAGCGGAAGCTCAACGTGCTGCTTCGATAAATGCTCAAACAGATGACAAGACCACACTCGGCGATGTGCTAAGAGTAAGTTCATTGATTAGATGTTCACCCTTCATTTTAGATTCAATATAGATATTTGGATTTAATTATTATGAAAAGAATAGAAATTTCGGAAAAATAACATTTTGTGTGAAACTACTAGCATTATTTTTCAGGTTACTAGTGGTACGTACTACTCATGACATGCGGTTAAATATTTCGTATTAAAATTACGGTTAATTCTTGTCAATTTGTTCTTTAGGATGCAACGAGCAAGCTTATAGATGATAAGGCAGTGAAGAAGGAAGACGCAGAAGGCGTGGTGGGTGCTGAAATAAGGAATACGCCCAACTTGGCTACACATCCGGGAGGTGTAGCAGCCTCCATCACCACCGCGTCTAATCTCAACAAATTCTAGTGATTTGAGATTTGAAGTGAGTGTTTTTGTTTGGTTTATGGTTTTTGTTCTAGGTAGTTGAGTGCAATGGCACGGATTCAAGATTTTTAACAAAAGGGGTTTGAAAAATAAAAATATAGTGCATGAAGTTTGAACTTGAACCTCAAGTGAAATTTTAAATCCTCTAAGTTACTAGTCAATCTTTTAAAAATTTATGTCTATACATAAAAAAAAAATTACCTTAATTTTTTGTCGAGGGGGTTTCGATGAACACTCTGACAACCCCCTAAATCAGCCCTTGGTTGAGTGTACATATGAACCATGGTCGGATTTTATGAGTTGGTAGTGGTATATATGGTGGTGTCAATGTTATGAGGTTGTGATGTTTTTTTAAAATTTATTTTTAGAGAATTGGTGTTATTGAAATCATCTCCAGTTATGTGTACAAATGATAAGAATGTATATAGTGTAGCGCATACATAGAATAAGGTGATTTTAGATACACATACTAAATATATAGGAGTTGAGCTAGTCTGGTTTGAATTCCTCTAATATCGAGAGTCTGATGTTCGTGAACCCACACCTAGATCTAACCGTTTATGACAATTAGACCTACTACCCTGAAAGTATTGTAATGGAGGCTTGTTGAAACATCAGGGTCCGGAATCATTCTAAAACTCTCCCAATGAACCGGTGAGCCTATTCCTCTTCTGCTCTGCTCTCACAACTCTCTTACCGACATACTGTTTGATGTCGCGTAGCTCCTTTATATTCTATACAAAAGCCTGAACCTGGAAAATATTCATTGTATCCTATTAATGATTCAGAAATTCGGACATCCATTGTCTCCTATCGAAAGTAGTAATCTAGGAAGGCCTGTGTAACACTCTCCCGGATGAGCGGAGGTGCACAACGCTCCTTTTGGATCTCTCCCAACTCTCGTACCACAATATTATTACTATATACTGAAACGAAATGTTGCTAACTCAACGGACTCGATCGACAAAGCATGCATGAATTTAAAGATATTATGAAGCTTATTTATAAAATACTGTAGATCCATTTTGCAATCTATGCTTGTAAAGGGTGGAAGACTCAAAGCGAGAAACTCACTAACCCTCAAACTTTTGGGTTCCTTAAAAGGTTCAGCAACATCTAGTGCCCTCGATTGTTAGGAGTGTTCATGGTTCGATTTGGATCGGTTATTGATTAAAATCAAAATCAAATTAATTTAGTTGATTTTTAAATTTCTAAAATCAAACGAAACGAAACGAAAAAAATAACCGTCTGTTTGGTTATTGTTTATTTGGTCGGTTAGGTTCGGATTTTCTTGGTTTTTTCGGTTTGAAAGTAACAAATTTTTTAGGACATACGTATCTCGATAAACACACACCTAATACATGAATAATTCACAAGAAAGCTAATGTGGATTCAATTAAGCAATTTAGCAATACTAGAGTTATTATTACACAGCAAATTAAAGTGATTCAATTAAAAGAAAATGTGACTATCTTACTTGAGGTAGGGTAGGTAAAGACTAAAGTAATGGATTTTGATGGACTTAGACTTAGGGTTGTAATAGTTGTGCTAAAATTTAAGTATTGGGCCTTAGAAAATGGTAAAGTTGTAGGCTTAGGTTAATTAAAATTTAACAAAATATTTATATTTTATTTATGAATAATAATTAAATAATTGTAAAATTTATATATCTAATGTCTTGGTTCGGTTTGGTTATTTTTGCAGTTTTTTTAGTACAGCCAAAACCAAACCAAATAGTATCGATTTTCAAAATTTAAATCAAATTTAATCAAATCAAATCAAATCAAATATCAATTTTTTTAATCGATTTGATTCGAATTGCAATGCGATGCAATTTAATTTTTTAACCATAATTATGAACTGCCCTACTAACTGCACCAGCATATGTATTGCACTAGGAAGATCATGATCAAAAGCAATATGAGGAACTGACGGTGGAGCTACCAAAAGCTCCAATGTCTTCCCTTCGGTCTGTAGCTAGTAGCCGTCTGTCTAGCATGAGGCATTTCTTTCTGTATGCTAATAGCAATCATAAACTGGAAATTCAGCTCCATAACACGATTTGAGCAAGATGGGGTAACCATTCTAACATGCCCCACAACTTTCTGCTTATAAAATGTGGTGCACAACATATTTATAAACAAAATTATATTAAATATAACTTGAAAATTTCTTAGTATACGACATTGCTCTCTAGTGCCAGGTTTGTCACACCCCAATCTCGGAGGTGCAACTAGCACTTGGTTCAATTTAATTTACACATCTCTGTCGGTAATATTACTCTACCCCCATGTGTCATGATCCGAGTCTACACCCTGAACGTGACCGGCACTCGAGAACCATTGATGATCCCTAAGCGAACCCTTGAAAGGACTGACTACTTAGCAGAAGACTAACCCAAGTAGACTTAAGCTTTAAAATAAAATTTAAATTCAAAAGTCTCAAAACTCACGCTATCTCAAAATTGTATAATCAAAACTATCTGAAAATACTCTAAAAACAACAATAGTTTACCAAAATAGTTCAAAGGAAATACTGAAAGAAACTCAACACTAACTATCTATGAAGCCTCTATAGTTTAACATGGATGTCGGGGCAAGACCCACGACACTTCAAAACTACTAAACTAAAAGACAAGAGTGGAGTCCTTTCGAATGCATGGAAGGTTCACCAAAGCTAGAAAGAAGTGCAAAGTGATCTCAACGGAGCGCCTATTGATGATCTTGAACACCTATTTCTGCATCATGGAAAGATGCAGGTCGAATGACATTAGAATATTAAATGTAGGAGTATGTAATAGGGCTGAATTAAACGAATAACTGAACTGAAAGGCTGAAAGTAGCTCAACTGAAGAATAGCATAAGTCACGATGAAAATCATTTAATGCTCTTACTGTAAGGATGTAATAAAAGTAAATACTAAACTTTATATATATATATATATATATATTCACTTCACTTTACTAGGAGTTTCTCTAACCGACAACCATCACGATGAAAAGCCTTCTTGAGGCAGGTGAAGAGTTGCTCGTCTTGTGGTACAATCCTATCTATGTTGGCAGCGTAGGTTATGGAGTTTGAGTTATCTGAACTCTTACTCCAAATCGGTGCTCAATACTATTCCCAAAATATAATTGAATGCTCATGTAAAAGTACTCTCTAGGTTGAGATAATTTCTCAAAAGATCTCTTTAAGAGGTAACTGAAGTTGTACTAAATTAGTCTGAAGTACTATGAAACTCTTTATACTTTTCTGAAAATAGTACTCTCTTTCCAATGTGAAAAATAATACTTTCTTTAAGGGTAACTGAACTTCTCTTTATTTGGCTGAAATGCTTTTGAAAACTGTTTATGTTCTTCTAAAAATAGTAGTTATTTTCTCAATATCAATGCATATATATTGCAATCTCATATCAAGAATTTAGTAAATTTGAGGGTAGAACCCTAGATTGAACTTTTCCCTAACTGGATGTAGATGTAGGGCGTGAGAACGAACTAGTCCAACACTGTGAATAGCCTTACATACCTTGAAGAATAAAGTTCTTGAAGAAGTTTGAAGGAGAACTTGAACCCTAACTTTTATCTTCCTTAAGGTTTCTTGGAGATGAAGAGTGGAGAAGAATCTTGGATTGAAACCCTTAGGATTCTTGAAGAGAATCTTGAACTTGGAGCATTTAGATCTTGAAAAATTGGAGAAATTCTTTCTTGGAGCTCTTGATCTTTGAAAGAATGAGAATTGAGAATTTTGAGAGTTGCTATACGTATAATGATGGTATTAGGTAGTAAGATGGACTTAGGGAAGTTGATTTAGGGTAAAAGGTCAAGAATACCCTTATAAGTATGTAGTAAAATCATAAAAATCAAAGAAAATAACCTATTAATGAATCTCGTCGGCCAAATCAACGATTTGGAGGTCTCCTCAACAAATATACTCGGCGTATCACCTATTAGGACTTTCGATCGCCAAAATGGACATAAACTCAAGGTTTTCGGTACAATTCGGCAAGCTAGTTTGGCGGCTTGTCAACCCATTCGGCGGGTTGCCGGTTCAGCAGGTAAGTTCACCCAATTTTCCAGCCCAGGTATGTTCCAGTAAAACGACCATTACTCTTTATTCCAAACTTGTAATAAGGTAAACTCAGCGGAGTTGGAAAGAAGACTAATAGACATTTAATTTGATAGGTCACAGGACACCTAATTCATTATATTCTAAGAGACATAAGTGTTTGAAGTTGACCTTTATATGAACTCAGGCAAGAACTTAGCCAATAAAAATGTGATGGAATGTATGCGTCCACTATCAGTCAACGGACCAGGTCCCTTGACTCAGCAAGAACAGTAATGAAGAGTAAACGATGAAGAGAAAACAACACAAGGAGTTTACGTGGAAACCTCCTTGCTCAAGGGAGTAAAATCATGACCTATCACACATGATTTTCAACTGTTTTCACTAATCTTCTCAAGCAAGAGTGAAACATAGATTACAACCACCAACGACATCAAACTCTTAATCTCAAAGCTAAGTAATACTCTTATTACTTACTGAGCCTAAGCAAATACCACACTGCCCACTAAGCCATCCAGCCCTAGATAACTTAGACTTCAACTAAGCAGATACGACGCTGCCCACTAAATCAGCTAGCTCCTAGATGATTTAGAATTTGACTAAGTAGCTACAACACTACACACTAAATAAGTTAACTTTAACCGATTAAGACTTTTACAACCAGAACAAAAATTTGATTCTTTTATAGATTAGGAACAGATTTACAATATAAACATCGAAGTATGAATCCTAAGACAACTATGACACATGCAGCTCTATCAGATCCTTGTTGCTCTTGAGGAGGATACTTCACGAAAATGGGTTTTTGGTTGTGTTCATGAGAATTTTCAAGATGCGAAAACTGAAGTTGTGTCTATTGAAACGAACCTTATAAAATGATAGACACAAAACTCAAACTCAACAAAAACGCTTCAGCACTTTATCAGGTCCCTTTGTTGAGCATGAGCATTGTTCTTTCTTGAAGATGGCCTTTTCTTTTTGAGCTTATGAATTTTCAGAAATTCACAATTTTGTTTTCCAAATCTTGAGTTTGTGTTGAGGGAGAAGAGACTATATCAAAAATGAACACAAACCCTTAGGACAATGCCATTGGCTGAGAGCCTATTGTTCTCAAAGGTTGTGCACCAACCACATCAGAGTTGGCAGCCTTTTGGCAGTTGTCTTTTCGTCCTTTTCTCGTACGCAGACTCTCCGGGACAAGGTCCCTTGCTACGTTCTTTGATGTTTGAGTTCTTGGAAAAGACTTCTAGCTTTCTTTCTTCTTGAATGAATAACGTTATTTGTTTATTGTTATATATATCAGTTACCAACAAGAGCTTTAACCACTTAAACAAACAATTTGGTCCGTCCTTCCTGTTGGTAAAGTACACTGCACATCTCACCAACCAACCTGACAAGACAACTGTAAAGATAGTTTTACAGTTGTGCACCACTTTGAATCTGGATGAAAGTACCCTGCCAAGGACCGGGTCTTTGCATTTGTGAGGATCATCAAAACATTATAATATAACATTTTCCCCCTTTTTGATAAGACACACAAATATTCCTCATGGTGAGTTTATTCATTCAGTTCCCCTTTCATCAGTCCCCATACCAAAATACCCTTTCCTGGATCTGGTCCCTTGTTAGATCCCTAAGTTTGTTAAATCATCAAAACTTAACATCAGCTCCCAAGTAACAGAATGCTTTGAACTTGACTTTGTGTTTGAGGTCTCTTATAACCCTAGATTCATTTAGATACTCTTGATATACTTGGTAAAGGACCTTAAAACATATTAGAAAGCAGGACATCACCCAGTTCAAACTAATATACTTACGACGAATGATTCAAATTTTAAGGGTAGAGTTGTGCAGTGTTATAGAATGATTTGGATCTCATCTTAGAAATTGTTGAGATGTTACAATATCTCCCCATTGGGATCATTCGTCCTCGAATGACGATTGAACTGAGCATAGAAAGGAAAGGGGTTACTCTTACTATCTTTCTGACTTCTAAACTTGCCTACTAACATAGGCGAATATAGATGCTTGTCCAAGTTTTAAAGGAATATTTATGTACTATATATGCCTAATAATAGTGTTAGTTGTTACCTTTCTGAACTATAACATTTCATATCTAAAGTTTTGTAGTATATGGGAAGAGAGGAAATTTACTCGAACCTAATTAATTCTTCCTAAATTTGCTTTAGATGCACACAAGGTTTCCAAGTTAATGCTAGATAAAAAGGATTTTCATTATAGGTTTTCATGCGATTTTCAAAATTGAAATTGAAGTTTATCGGCAGGTGCATAGCCAAAATTTTATAAAGGATGTCCAAATTCATTGTTGAAATATAAATCATCAAATAAAGTTATTACATTATCATTATTCCAGTCTATCAATTCAGACAATGTTGGACCATTTAGAAAGTCAATGGAGTAGTTATGATAGTTATTTAATGGCATTGATGCATTCATTGGTAATATTTATTGGATGGTCCAATTGCGACCTCAATTATGATCCTAGCATATTCTGAACCCAAGGGTGAGTTGCTTGTTTCAGGCTGCTATGGGTTTCTCCTTTCTCTCTGGTCCATCTTTTAGACTTAAAATATATTTATTTCAAAGTTGCATCTTAATTTTCTAGAGGAATATGATTTTTGGTATACAAATTTCAAATTCTAGGAGGGTTTTCTGCGATTATTTAATGATTTTGATTTTTAATTGTGGAAGCTTGTTTTAGAATTAAAAATTGTTTATTTTTGGTTATTTAATGGACTATGTGTTAGGAGTTAGTTAGTTCTCCAACCGGGGGTTAGTGTGGTGCTATGCACAACGAATCAGGATTATGACAACAAGAAATCGTAATACAAAAACAAGGTGTGATCACCTAGACACCAATGATATCAAAATACATCGATTATATGAAAAGACTAATACTACAACCGACATGGTGCTTTACACTACCATCAAGCCAAATACAATTGTGATACCACTAGAGGAAAGATTTGTGAAGAAAAATGAGGAACCTACGAGGAGTTCACAAAAGGAACCATTTGCGAAGGAGTCCTCAAAATAGCCGCCAAATGAAAAAATTGTTGGTTCCCTGCAAATAGGAGTCAACCCTGGGCAAAGATGAACTCAACAACAATTCATTAGATCCCCATCCAAACAAACACATTTCTCTCTCTTTAGCGATGACTAGAAAAAAGTGAAGCTTGCTTTCATTAAAAGTAAAACTAACAATGATGTCTCATACAGAAAACGAAAAAAAGGATTCTTGGAAAAAGATGGAGAACTCGACACATTTTGTGGTATTTAAATGGTTACGGTTATCTATAGCTCTTACCACAATGAACTTTCATGATTTGAGAACACCACAAAGTTCATTGTGGTAAGGATTACAGATTATTGTAGTCAATTCAATACCATAAAATGTGTTGGTTCATGAGTATTTTTCAAGAATTCTTTCTTTCTTTTTCTGTATGGGACTTCCTTGTCAATTTACTTTCAACGAAAGCAAACTTTATTTTTTTTCTATTCATGGCTGCAGAGAAGGAGAAGTGTGATTATTTGGGAGGGGATCACATGACTATGTTACTATTGTTGTGTGTTTCTTTGCTTAGGATTGACTCCTATTTATAGGAAAAATTCAGGTTTTGTAACTTTTTGAATAGTTTGAATTAGAGAATACTAATTTGTCGGTAGTAAGTATTTTGGCATGTAACTAATTGGGCGTGTATTAGATACCAAGTTGGATGTTATCATCTTGAAGTATATGTAGTTTATGATTTTGGTCTTGTTCTGACTAGATTTTTTGGGTCAAACTTTTTATATTAGGAAAATAATTTAGAGGTTTGATCTGAATAATTAGTATCTACAAAAGATGGTCATCCAATTATATTTAAAAAGCAATTGGTTAGTCGTTGTTATTCTTTATTAGTATTTTTTCACGAATGAATCCTCACAACTAATTATAATTTGACGATTTTATAGTAGCTATGAATAATGTTATTAGTATTTTTTAAATTACATGAATAATATATTGTCTATTTCATTATAAAAGAGAGAAAAATCAAATATGGTATCAAACTTTGATAAAAAGGTCCATCTATTAAAAAAATGGCTTATCTATGTCATTTTCATTGAGAAAAGGCTCATGTATGCCATTATTTGTCAACTGAAAACAGTTTTGAATTTGTAAAATTAGTTTTTTACACATGTTCAATTATGATTCTGCCACATCTTTAGGTAAATCATTTTTAAAAGAAAAAGGTAACGACCTAAACCGTCGTTATTCAAGTCACCTCGTGTAGAGTCCTAAAAGATTTAAGATACGATGTTAATTTAAAAATTGGGGCACACAACGTAAATTTAGGAATTTTAAAATTAACCAGGTTGACAGCATTCCGCCATAGCGGAAATATTCTCACTATGATGACACTACTATAGCGGCATGTCAACTGCTATAGTAGGGGTAAAAACTCGAAAAACATGAATGTTTTATTTTCCTCTCGCTCTTTATTAATAAAACAATGAAGGTTACTCTAAAAAATCTCATAAGCATCTCTATGCTCGAGAATAATGGAGGGGAGGATTTCGGCACAAAGAAGGTCAAAATCCACGTGTTCTCTATCTATGTCCGTCGAGATTCCCCCTCATGGAGTCAGAAGTTCGTATTCAGAATTTTTCAACAGTTCTTTGACGTCTAAGTAGGCTAGGTTTTCTTAACCAAATAGTTAGAACAATTTTTACTTAAATATTATCTTGTAAATTATCGAGAGATAGCATGTAGAAGCCTTCAGGATGGAGTCTGGGTGGATGAATGTGTGGTTAGTTGTGGTTTAGGCTGATGATAGACTTGATTAGCTATTGTTGACATTATGATATTTGCTGAGTGTTATCTTGGGGAAGGTGGTTGTGAAAATCGGATTATGATCAGGAGATGTTTGAGAAGGAATCCTTTTGGGTAGGTAAGTATTGTTTGTTTTTCTTGTTTATGTGATTCAC